ATTCTCAAATTCTTGCAAACTAAATGAATAAAAAGCCATTTTAAAGTCCAATATCCCTTTAGGACAAAGGCCCTGAAGAAACTAGAAATAAAAGGTACATATCTTAATAAAGTCACCTACAGTCAAATTATACTAAATGGGGGAAAACTGAAAGCATTGCTTCTAAAATCAGGAAGCACACAGGTGTCCACTTTCCACTCCCTTATTCAAAACAGCCTTAAAGTTTAGATAAAGCAATATGGCAGGAGAATGATAAATAAGATAAACAGTAAACCCTGCTTGGAGAAGATGGGACCCTAAATAGCCCATCAAAATTCTTAGTACTGATAAACACTTTCAGTGAGTAGAATATAGAATCCACATAAAATATCAATAGCTTTTCTATATACCAATAACGTGCTGGGAAACAGATCAGAGAAAAGTCTAATTCATAACAACTTAAAAAAAAAAAAAAATACCCAGGAAGGAGGGGTGGGGTCTGGAGAGATGGCTCAGTGTTTAAGAGCACGGACTGCTCTTCCAGAGGTCCTGAGTTCAATTTCTAGCAACCACACAGTGGCCCACTACCACCTGTAATGCGATCTGGTGCCATCTACTGGCCTGCAGGGACACATGCAGGCAGAAAACTATATACATAGTAAATAATCAGTAAAATATAATTAAAAAAATACCCAGGAGAAAACCTAGCTGAAGAGAGAAGATATTTCACTGATAAAAACTAAGAAAGCATGAGATGATGGATATATATGGCATGCTGCTCTTGGACTGGCAGAACTAATATTGTAAAAATGGCCACATTACCAAAACCACTCTAGAAATTCAATACAACCACCATAAGAAAATCTGATGACATTTTCCACAGTACTAGACAAGTAGCTGAATATCCCAGCCTCCCCTTTTTCCACAAATCACCAACTGTCTTTGCAAGGAAACTTAAACAACAGCACTTAGCCAAGACCAATAAACCAGAGGAACACCAAAACACAGATGTAAACACACTTGCAGTATAAGAGTGCCAGAAACGCATTACAAAAGGCAGGAACACACAGGAATGCCATTAGAAATGAAACCCTGTAGCTGGTTAAAAAAACACCAAGGATTCATAGCAATCAATGGGAGTTGAAGGTTTTTACTCTTTATGCTTCAGAGGGACCATCACCCTGAAGATGCCTTGATTTCAGATTTCTAGCCTCCAAAACTATCTTGTCTCAACTCACTTAGTTTGTAGTATTTTGTTTCATCGTCCATAGAAAATGAATATTCTAGCTGGGCATGATCATGCATGCCTTTAATCCCAGCACTCAGAAGCAGAGGCAGGTTGATGTCTGTGAGTTTTAGGCCAGCCTGGCTTATATAGTGTGTTTTGGGATAGCCAGGGCTACATAGTAAGACCATGTCTGGAAAAACCAAACAAAAGAAAATGATATTTTAGGGTTGGTTCCATGAGTTATCCTCTTGTATTATCTGCCTTTGAGTGTGGGTAGAACCTGAGACTTGTTTCCAGCTGGTATACTATGGCAAACATGATGAAATGTCACTGTAATAACATTATCATAGGCCTGTGCATTTAGCAACTGCAAGGACAGCTGCTCTTCAAGAAAATGGCCAAATGATCTCAGAAAACTTGTAGGGGTTTAGATTTAATCTAATACCCAGTAAGAAGCTGGAGTTCTCATCTCTACAACTATAAGGAAGTACATTTTGCCACCCACTGAAGGTGCTTAGAAGGGGATCCAGATAAGAGCAGGGCTTGGCTCTGTTCAGGGTCAGATTCGCCAGATGTCATCTTAGACTGTAGGCATCTATGAGCTGGACATCAGCAGTGATTTATTACTGTGGTTAGAGGTCTATTGTGGTCTGAATGCAAAATGTTCATTGGCACATGCCTTTCAACATTTGGTCTCCTGCTGGTGGCATTCTTTGGAAAGGTTATGAAACTGTTAGGGGGTGGAGCTTTGCTGGAGGATGTATGTCACCTGGGGTGGGCTTTGAGGTTCTATATCTTGGCCCTATCTCCCTTCTGGACTGCTGATCCATCGAGCTGAGCTGGCTTCATGATCCTTTGGCTATACTTTCCTTGATATGGAACTATAAACCAAAGTAATACACTTTCTTCCCTAACTTGCTTTTCTCAGGGAATTTTATCATTGTAAGAGGAACCAAATTAAGAGGGTGATTCTGTCTGTTGAGCTGAACCTATCAATTGGAGCATACATTGCAGTGGCTTCTTTTTCACATGGTAGCTGAGTTTCATAAATTTTGAAGCCCTTGGGGTTTTTGATGCTTACCACTGGAAGTAATGTGGCATCATTTCTGTTTTCTATTAACTTACGCAGTTTTCCGCCTGTGTTTGAGGTTCCCTCCTGTGAACACAGAACAAATGAACAAGAACTTGCGTGTGGTATGTTAAAACTGCCTGATTGTTACCGAGGTATGCCTTACACACACAGATCTTAACTGTGAATTCAGATGTTAGTGACCACTCTGCTATACACTCTTTTTCCTGTACATCCATTTCATAAATTTCTCTTCTGATCTTTTAAGTCAGTTCTTAGCTCTTCCTATTCTATGAAGAAATACAGGGGAGGCATACACTGTGTTCAGATCCAATCAGATTTTCTGATTTTTTCATAATATTGTCCATGTTTTGTTGACATATTTTATTGCTGGCTTTAACTTCATTGCATAAATACTTGCTTTTTTAATTTCAATTTTTAGTGTATGATTATAAATGGAAATATTATATAGTCTTGCATACATTGTCAAATGTTATCTAAGTACTTCTGGGAGTATTCTTTCTTACTAATCAAATCCATAAAGTTTGAATGCCCAAAGACCTCTCCTCTCTTCAAAGCTTATCCTTTGAAGGTTAAAATAGAATTAAGAGGGAGTTAGCTTTCCAAATTGTCCTCGTGTAGGAGGAGCACAGTACTGTTGGAGGAGTGGCACATCATTCATTAACTGACTAGAAACTAGTTAGCTCAGCCAGAATGGCAATTAAGTCTGTTCTTTCAGGTATTCTCAACCCCAACACTGTGCTTCTGTCTCCAAAGGAGTTACTTATCCCTGTAGATGATGGTTCGCTAGCATGAGCCTTTTGGGACTAAGGAGGCTACAGTTTAAAATGTCTACTATAAAGAACAGAATGGTACCTGTGCTGCATGGTTGTATGTCAACTAGACACCAGCCAAAGTCATCTGACAGGAGGGAACCTCAATTAAGAAAATGCCTCTGAGCTGGGTGGTGGTGGCACTCACCTTTTATCCCAGCACTTGGGAGGCAGAGGCAGGCAGATCTCAGTGAGCTTGAGGCCAGCCTGGTCTATAGAGTTCCAGGACAGGCTCCGCAAGATTCACAGAGAAACCCTGTCTCAGAGAGAGAGAGAGAGAGAGGAGAGAGAGAGAGAGAGGAGAGAGAGAGAGAGAGAGAGAGAGAGAGAGAGAGAGAGAGAGAGAGAAGCCTCTGTTAAGATAGGATTTTATCTGGGCTGGAAAGATGGCTCAGCAGTAAGAGCACTGGCTGCTTTTCCAGAGGACTCGGGTTCAATTCCCAGCATCCACATGTTAGCTTACACCTGACACCCAGGGCAATACACCAATGCACATAAAGTTAAAAAAAAAAAAGTAAATTTAAAACAAAGTAGGGTTGTAAGCTGGTGTTGATGGTACATGCCTTTAATCCTAGCATGCACTCCAGAGGCAGATGCAGATGGATCTCTGAATTCAAGGCCAGCCTGGTCTACAATGTGAGGTCTAGGACAGTCAGAGCTGTTACACAGAAAAACCCTGTTGGAAAACAAACCAAAACTTGTAGGCAGGCCTGTAAGGTATTTTCTAAATTAGTGATTGATGGGGGAGGGCCCAGCCCATTGTGGGTGGTGCCATCCCTAAGCTGGTGGTCCTGGGTTCTGTAAGAAAGCAGGCTCAGCAAGCCATGAAGAACTAGGTAGTACGCAGCTCCCCTCCATGGCTTCTGCATCAGCTCCTGCCTTCAGGATCCTGCCCTGCTTGAGTTCCTATTAGTAAACCCTTTCCACCCAACTTGCTTTTGGTCATGGTGTTTCATTGTAGCAATAGTAAGACAGTACTTTAATGTGAGAACTTCTATCCATCATTCATCAGTTATCTACAAAATTTCTCAGCATGAAGAATTATAGTGGCTTCAGCTTCAAAAAATGAAAATTTCTCCACAAAACTAACCTCTCCTCTCTTCAAAGCTCATCTCTTGAAGGTTAAAATAGAATTAAGAGGGAGTTAGCTTTCCAAATTGTCCTCGTGTAGGAGGGGCACAGTACTGTTGGAGGAGTGGCACATCATTCATTAACTGACTAGAAACTAGTTAGCTCAGCCAGAATGGCAATTAAGTCTGTTCTTTCAGGTATTCTCAACCCCAACACTGTGCTTCTGTCTCCAAAGGAGTTACTTAGAAGAGTGAAGGCCATCGTGTTTCTCAGGGAGTTTGGAATTCCCTTAATGGAAAGTAACATACAAGTATAGGATTCTTAGAAAATGAGGTAGTTATAATTAGAAATGCAGGGCTGAAGAAAATCTCAGTTGCTAGGTGTGCACCCCCATCGCCTGGCTCTGCCCAGTGGTCTTGAATGCACATTAAGTTGAATATGTTAGCTGGGCAGTGCTGGCACACACCTTTTATCCCAGCACGAGGGAGGCAGAGACAGGTGGATCTCTGAGTTCAAGGCCAGCCTGGTCTACAGAGTGAGTTCCAGGACAGCCTCCAAAGACACAGAGAAACCCTGTCTTGAAACAAAACAAAACAGAACAAACTGAATATGTATGGAAGAAAAGGATCTCAAGACTGATGAGCCTTATCTTTAAGGACTGAGCCTTCCCTACAGCCTAGGAGTTGACTCTTTCAAGGGCTTATGGTATATGCTACAAATATAATCTGTATCTGCTATACTAAGGTCAAATGTGACATAAGAGATTAGTGAGTGTACCCTAGGAAGTTATATCAGATAAAGAAATTATGAAAATACATGCTAATGATAAAACAAGACATTTATTTTTCATATTCATTTGGAGGAAAGGGAAAAAGTCAGTTTGCCATATTAAATGCTGGTCCTTCTGGAAGAATTTCCACTTACCCTATAGAATTAGATAAACTTCTTGGTTACAGAGGGTTTTGTATTCTTAATTCCTAAGACCTTCCTTTGACGAGAGTAGTTACAGGGTGAGCCTTTGGGAGCAGCTTCGTTGGTGCACAGCCAGGCTCCCTCTCTGAGTGAAACTCTTTCCACACTGACCACAGAGATAGGGTGTCTCTCCTGTGTGGATTTTTCCATGCAGAATACAATTCCCCCTGGTGTGGAAACTCTTCCTGCAGTGGGAACACGCATAGGGCTTCAGACCTGTGTGAACTCTGATGTGGACAATTAGGCTTCCTTTCTGACTGAAAGCTTTTCCACACTGGTCACATCTATAGGGCTTCTCACCACTGTGAACTCTTCGGTGAACAGCGAGGTTACTTTGATTCCTGAAGCTTCTCTGGCAAATGGCACATTCATAGGGTTTCTGTCCAGTGTGGAGTCTCTCATGGACAGCTAGGCTGCCTCGCTGACTGAAGCTTTTGCCACACTCTTTGCACTGATAGGGCTTTTCTCCTGTGTGTATTCGCTGATGTGTAACTAGATTGCCTTTGGCCCTGAAGCTTTTTCCACACTGGGTGCACTCAAAGGGTTTCTGCCCAGTGTGGATTCTCTCATGCAATGTTAGACTACCTTTTTGCCGGAAAGATTTCCCACATTCCTGGCAATCATAGACCTTCTGTCTCACTCCAGGAGAGTCTTCCTGTAGTGTCTTTGAATCTGGGGACTTTTGTTCCACCTTCTCTCTTCTGAAAGAACTCTGGAAATCCCAGCTTGAAGATCCTGTGGCCTCTGAATGATCATACTTGTGGGCTTCCGTCATCACATCTGGTAAAACGAGAGGGAAGTCATGTCAGATGCAGCAATATGCTGAGTGAGAAGAACAGGGGAAAAAGAAACATAACTCTTAGAGCTAATTACGTGCCAGGCATTTTACTGGGCACTCTGCATACATAACTGAATCTTGAAAATCATACTGAGATTGCTACAGGTACAAAGATGAGCCGGGCGGCGGCGGCGCACACCTTTAGTACCAGCACTCGGGAGGCAAAGGCAGGTAGGTCTTTGTGACTTTGAGACCAGTCTGATCTACAGAGCTAGTTCCAGGACAGCCTCCAAAACTACAGAGAAACCCTGTTTTGAAAAAAAAAAAAAAAAAGAGCACAGACAGAGGTCACATAACTATTAATAGATGTATTATCTGGGATTTAAATATTAGCATGCGCCATAGCTATGTACTGCCTTTAAAGTTATTATTATTGTTATTTCTTGGCGGGGGTGTTGGGGGGGGGTTAGAACCTAGGGCCCCTGGAAGAGTAGCTAATGCTAAATCTCTTCAGCCTTGAGATGATTACTTTATACGCAATAAAAATAGGCTCATAGAGGCTGGTTGGTGGATCTCTGTGAGTTTGAGGCCAGCCTGGTGTACAGAGTGAGTTCCAGAATAGCCAGGATTGCTGCATGAAAAAGTCACCCAACTCCAGTCTGCTCTCCTGCAGTAGTTTATGATCTCAGAAAATAAACAGCAATTTTCAGGTATTTTATGACTATGCCTCAAATTCTTACAAGATACAGCTTCTTATCTATTTCATTATACAGATGAAAAGCCTGAGGTTTAAGGAAGTTAGGTAACTTCTTTAATAATGTAAATGTGATTGGAATTTCTCCTTTTACAATACATGCTATTTTCAGGTCTATTAAGTTATGGTAGAGTCGAATGAGTCTATTCATTTTCTAGGGGTCATCCTAGAGATGTTTCTTCCTTGTTTCCCTAACTTATTCATACTCAGTGATAGAGCTGAGAGTTAGACACTCAGTGGGCCTGAAACACCCCCAAGACTGCCTCGATATCAATTCTTTTCTTGCTTTGTTTTGACTATCATTTCCAACTCCAGCTTGCAGGCTTCCCCTGCAACCCTGAAGGATGGCATGCTTCACCAAATGAATGCATCTTTTGCCTCTCCCAGCCGGTACTCCCAGCAACCAGCTGACTCACTCACTGAAAAATGCTACATTCTGGGCATATCTTCCATGGCAGTCCAGCAGGGTAGCTGTGGGAAACCCAAACATGTCCACTCCTGCTCTATGACTTTAACCACCACTTCTTCATAGGAGTCTTCCATGGGCTGGTCTTGAGTACCTGAGGGACAGAAAATAAAATAAACCAAACCAGACCAAAGAACAAACAATAAAGGGCAGGACTGATAATCGAGAAGGAGAAAGCTAACAGGAGGCCCACTTGGGGGTAGAAACACAGGATGTCAGGACTGCTTGAGGTAATATCACTGCAAAGATGGCTGGAGAGAGCAGGACTGGGACCTCAAAGATGGATCTAGGAGCACAGAGGAAGTGGGAAGCAGATGCCATATAAAATGGACCTCTTCCTGTTAATTCCCAGTTAAGGTCACTTCTGTTCGTATTTTGGTCTTGACTTGAGATTGGGGTCTTCTACTTCCCAGGAAACTGTTGTGGATTTTATCCCTCAAGCCCAAACAGTCCACCCTGCAGCCTTCCTAACTGGTATAAAGGAAGAGCTCCAGCTCTTCTCAGTTCCCTTGAAGCTACAAGGACCTAACAAAAGGTTTCTTGCTGCCTTCTGGCAATCCTTAGCAGGCTCTAGATCCAGACTATCACTTTTCCCCTTTGGAATGCTTATTTAAGGATCAAATCCCTAGATTTGTAGCCTGTATTTACTCAGTATATCCAATCAAAATGCCAAACTGCTTGCTAGCTTAATGAATTAGCAATCTGTATAATTCTGTTTTACTAACCAAAGAGCTGACCCCTTCCACCCATTCCGTCATAAGCACAAAATACAAAGGGCTCCCCTGAAATGGTGCAAATGCATTCATTTTAGAAATACAAGATATTATTGGTTAAAAATAAAACCAACAAAAACCCCTGCACGTTCACAAAGAAAAGCACTTGGTACCACCTCCCTGGGGTTGGTCACTGTAGAAAACATGGTCAAGTCAAAATAAGTGAACAGAATGTACACTTCAAAACTCTCCACCTGCTAAAAGGTATCCAACAAATATCCCCTCAACTGTGTCTCTAACAGGAAACTGACTACAGGAAATTGTTAAGGGAGAACCATGATCTCAAGTCAGGGCAATCAAATTCTCAAAGATACTGGAAGAAAGTGGTTTCATTACACAAAACACCATTTTTCCTGTCACAGCTCAGCATTAGGCACTGACAATCTTGGATCCTCGCCTTGATTCCCTAGGTGTATGATCTGGAGCAAAGCAACCTAAGACCCCGACTCTAGTTCCTTCACTTACTAAACAAGTAGTTCACACCATCTCATTAGCTTTTGGAAGAACTGATGACCAGAAAGTGAGAGATCTCTTACATTTGAGACACGCCCTACAAATTCAAGGCCTAAAATGGAGCATTCTCAGCCGAGAGAGGCTTGAGGACAGACAGGATGATCTATGGGTCAGAGAAAACATTTAAAGAGGTAATTTAAGGATCGAACAGGAGCTTGTGGGTGAAGGTGAGTCCCCCACACTGGAAGCCGCAGGCAGGGCGCCTCATCTCCGTAGGCACAGACTCTGCACCCTCCTGGCCTAGCTGGACCTTCCTGTGGCCCCTCCCACGCTCGCGGGGTCCCAGCCTCCCAGGGGCCCGGACATCGCAGCGGGGCCCTACAGCAGCAGACCGTGGCTCACCCGATGTCCGACCAGCCCATCTTTGTCAGAGGCTGGCGACTGCGCTCCAGCCGGCCGGCCTGGCCTGTTCACGCGCCCTGGCCGGGCTGGCCGGCTCATAGCACAGCCCCCTCTCCCGGGCGCACAGACATGGCCTGGGCCTCACTCACCGCAGCGGCGCGCACCCGCAGACAAAGCCGGCGCCGAGCCCGTAGCAGCTGCAGCAGCGACGAGCGGTGCCAGACTACAACTCCCAGAAGCCCCCGCGGGCCCCAGGGCACTGTGGGAAGCTCCACCGCAGAGTTGCGGCAGAAACCTGGAAGGCTGGCTCAATGTTGGCTGGTTCTAATGAAGTGCGTGCGGTCCTGTGGAGGAGCTGTAGAAGTCTGGGGATGACGAGGACGTTGTTAAACTATGCAAGACTCAGGGTTCACTGTAGGGCTCAGAAGCCGGAAGGAAGAATTTCGGACAAAGAATCAGGAACACTCGCTGGTCCGTTTATAAGATTTCTCACTCCAAAGATGGACGAGGCACCTCCAGGCTTCGGAATTTAGGAACTTAGGAGCCACTTCGATTAGTTGCATGACCCAGGGCGGGAATCCCACCCGTGGGAAGTCTAAAGTCAAAGAGTAAAAACAAACATCATTTTGGCGTTCCAATGTGGGGCTAGAGTAAGAAAAATCTAACATTTTGTATGAGTGTGTTCTGTCCTTCAACCAAGCCCCAGGAATCAAACTCAGGTCATCAGGCTTGGCAGCAAGCATTATTACCTACCAGTCACCTTTCCGGCCCAGACCCATTTGAATAGAGTGGTTGGGATTGGAGTTGAAAGACTCAGACTAAGACTCAGCTCCCCTGACAGATATTTAGTCCTTGCCCAGATCTTAAATGGGACCTAGTCCTCAGCCACCACCTGCTTCTTAAGGCTGGCTCATCAGGAAGGAGGATGCTGAGGGCTAAGGGGAAATTCTGTTGGTGTAGATTTAAGTACTCTTAAAGACACCCCCAGCCCTGACATTTTACAACACTAGGGGAAGGGATGATAGACAATTCAGAAAATGTGTTATGGCAGTCTTGTTATTTGGATGAAAAATATGTTCTATGAACTCCTATGCTAAGATACTCTCTAGATGGATCAAATCTGGAATATAAAACACAGATCCATAAAATACCTAGAAGAGCAAGTGAATTAGTATTCTTATAATGTTAGTGAAGTTTTTTTTCAACTATGATAACAAAGACAAAGGTAATGAAGAAATGATTAAATTTAACACTTTCTTTGGCTAATAGCACTAAATGGAAACAACTCATGAATAAGCTAGGTGGAGGGCCTGGAGAGATGTCTCAGAGGTTAAGAGCACTGTGCTCTTCCAAAGGTCCCAAGTTCAGTTCCCAGCAACCACATGGTGGCTCACAACCATCTGTAATGAGATCTGGTACCCTTTTCTGGTCTGCAGGTGTGCATGAAGGCAGAACATTGTATACATAATAAATAAATAAATAATTAAAAGAAAAGAAAAGAAAAAGCTAGGGGGAAAAACCCTAGTAACAGACACCATGTTAATTAGATGCAACAGCAACACATACCAAAAGCAAATAAGTAAAAAATGTCAAAACTCACTATTAAAGAAAAGAGCCAACTGACACAAAAATTTCCCCCAATTACTTAATGGCATCTCTAAAGGGAATAGGGAAACTTACATTTTTATCTATGTGTAAGTTGAGACAATTATTCTTACTGTATGTAATGCCCCAGGAAACATTGGTGACATGGTGGTAAAAAGAATTTACCCAGAGCCCCAAAAGGCAAAATCCATTGAAATATACTGCAAGGAAGCTCTGGGCATGTTTCTAGAGAGAGGACTGCATAGGCAGGGGTCCTTTATAATAGTTGGAGGGAGGGGTTTTGTGCTCTTAAAAACAGCTCTTGATTATTTTATTTTCAGTTATATGTTCTTACCAGGTGTTTAAGACCATGTAGGTAGGTAGCTCCCAGTAAAGTTTTCTTTTCCTTTTTTTTTTCTGATTAGATCAACTAAGATTCTTTAGGAGCTGTTCTCTTACTCTTAGGGACTTTTCAGGGGTCCCTTGGCTCCTTTGTTTTTATTTTTAAAAAAGATTTATGTGTATGAGTATTTGTTTGTGTACCACGTGCATGTCTGATGCCCATGTGGTCAGAGAGTAAAAATAATAAAATAATGAAAATAAATCCCAGTGTTGTTAATATTTTTTACATGCAACTAAAAGTTGGATAAACAGTAGAAAAATGGGCTGGAGAGATGGCTCAGAGGTTAAGAGCACTGGCTGCCCTTCCAGAGGTCCTGAGTTCAACCACAAGGCCTCTCACAACCTCCTGTAATGAAATCTGGTGCCCTCTTCTGGCAAGTAGGTATATGTGCAGGCAGAACACTATACATAATAAAATAAATCTTAAACAAAACCAAAAACCAACCAACCAACCAAAAAAAAAAAAAAAAAAAAAAAAAAAAAAAAAACAAAACAAAACAAAAAAACAAAACAAAAAAAAACCCAGAAAATACAAGTGCCTATCTGTATAAACCTGATAAGCCCTTTGTCCCTTAAGTCAGGGATTGTATATATTGCTTATTATAGCTCATACTTGGAGAGAACCACATTGAACAGGCAGTGGTGGCATGCACACACATTTGATCCTAGCACTTGGGAGGCAGAAGCAGGCAGATCTCTGAATTTGAGGCCAGCCTGGTCTACAGAGTGAGTTCCAGAACAGGCAGGGTTACACAGAGAAGCTGTGCTTTGAATGATGAGAGGAGAATGAGACAGAATGGTAAAGTCAGGTGCACATACATGACTGATTCAGAGGAAGGTTAACTCTGGTATCCAAAAGCCAAAACAGGACCTCCCCTTGGTTGTACAAACCTCCTCCAACCAAAATAAATAAATAAGCCAACAAATCCTAGCACATTTGAAAAGTAAAACCCAGTCATGGCCATCTGTAATTCTAGTTCCAGAGGATCCAGCGCCCTCTTCTGACCTTCTCAGGCACTGGGCACACACATGGTAAACAAACTCACATAGGAGGAACACTCATACACATATTTTTTTTTTTTTTAAAGAAAATTTGGCCGGGTGGTGGTGCTCACCTTTAATCCCAGCACTCAGGAGGCAGAGGCAGGAAGATCTCTGTGAGTTGGAGACCAGCCTGGTCTACAGAGTGAGTTCCAGGACAGCTTCCAAAGCTACACAGAGAAACCCTGTGTGGAAAAATAGAAGCATATTTTGGCTGACAGTTTCATGGTCCATCCTAGCAGGGAGATTACAGCAAAAGGAGCTTGAGGCAGCTGGTCTAGAGCATCTGTGGTCAGGATGAATGCTGATGTTCAGCTGCCCTTTATCCTTTTTGGTTTCAAGTATCCAAGAATGGCATGTCTTCCTGCCTCAAAGAACTTAATAAAGATGATCTCTCAAAGGCATTCAGAGAGTCTAGCCCAATCTAAAATTACTCTCAAAGGGTAGGGCTGGAGACTTGTCAAGTTGACAATCATCACACAGGAATGCTTAAGTGTTGTTACATTGTGTTATTAACATAATTTGAATTCAGTTCTATTAACAACTCTGATAAATGTTTACTCAGTTTGAGGAAGGGTCTTTCTCTGGCTCCACTGAGTAGTGGTGAAGGGAGAGAGGGAGTCCTGGCATCAGAGAGGCAGAGCAAGAAGTTAAACTGCAGCTTTCCATTGGCATTCCCTCATCACTGTCAATGTGACTTAGTGTTTCTATTGCTGCACCGAAACATCATGACCAAAAAGCAAACTGGGAAGGGTTTATTTGGCTCACATTTCCACATTGCTGTTCATCACTGAAGGAATTCAGGACAGGGACTCAAACAGGGTAGGGACCTGGATGCAGGAGCTGATGCAGAAGACATGGAGGGGTGCTGTTTACTGGCTTGCTCCCTATGGCTTGCTCAGCCTGCTTTCTTATAGAACCCAGGATCATCAACTATGGGCCCTCCCTCATTGATCACTAATTGAGGAAATGCTTTACAGCTGGATCTCATGGAGGCAGTTTCTCAACTGAGGCTCCTTCCTCTCTGATGATTCTAGCCTGTGTCAAGTTGTCACACAAAACCAGTCAGTACAATCAGCCACAGAGACATAAGCCAAGGACATAAGAAAGAATGGGATTTTGTGTGCCTTCCATGTCTCACCCTAATCACCCATGGATGGGAGTTTGGGAGGGGACAATCTGGAGAAGGGAATGGAGACCCTTTTCTTTTCCCGAGGAGAATGAGTAGAAAGCAAGGCGATTACAGAGCTGAGACAGGTCAGAGAAATAAAATCCAGAGATCAAACCCCTCCCAGAGGAATATTAACCAAAGAATAGACAGCAAAGCTTAAGCCAATGGGGTGTTTTAAGCAATTTTGGGGTATGGTATTTTTGGTTCAGTTACCTGCACACTGCCATACCTCCTGTTATGATGATAATGGACTAAACCTCTGAACCTGTAAGCCAGCCCTAAGTAAATGTTTTCCTTTATATGAGTTGCTGTGGTCATGGTGTTTCTTCACAGCAATAGAAATGCAAATTAAGACAGCCTCTTACAAACGGTCAGAAGTGAAGACATACACAGTGTGACTAAAGTTTGGATGGGTCACTGTAGCTCTTCAGATTCTCTGCTGAATGTTGTTTTATCTTCAGCACAGTGTCTGGGCCTTAATCTGCTAATATTTCAGCCAGCATTTGTGACTCCACAGTTACCAGCCTGTTTTTCAGGCTGCAGCCCGGTGGGAATTCTGTTTCTGAGATACTGGCTCTGCTACTAAATGTAGCTTTCACTAAATCTCTATCATTCTATTTATAATACTTGAGATTCAAAGGCTGGAGTGGAAACCTGCTAGCTCAGAGAGGTTGAGTAGTGTTGTGATATTGTTTGTGTTCTGACAAATAAAGCTTGCCTGGAGATCAGAGTGTGGAGCTAGCTACTGCTTCACCATAGAGGTCTGGAGGTCTGTACAGAGAGAAGACAGGAAGTATGGTAAGGTGGGGCATAGACAGGATCTGGGCCCTTTTGGCCAGAGGATTTGGAGTGAGTGGTAAGAAGCCACTGTGGCTGCACCTTGGCTTCTTTGATCTTTCAGCATTTACCTCGATATCTGACTCCGAATTTTTATTGTTAGGACTAATTAGGACTGCACTTCAGAATAGCATCTACTTAACTGTCTCTTTGCTGTGTATCAGAAAGAGAGCATCCTTCTGCTCTGCCAAACAAAATAAAGCTGTGCCACTCCAAATCCCTTCCTAGTACTTCTAGTGTG